CCCCAAAACCCCAAAACCCCAAAACCCCATAGGTCAGATATCATAAGAATTCTTATGATTAGAATATACTTGAAAAAATAATCTTATTTTAAATTAGATTAGTAATTTGATTAGAAGATATGTAACAATAAAACCTCCGCACTTGAAAAAAATCTCAAATAGGAGGAGGCTACTGATAAGTATCTAGATTTGATTAGGGTCTATTCACAAATTTATAGGCGTTGACTTTGAACTTAAGTTACTAAGGCTTGATGGCCTTCTTTATAATGAGTTGACGGTTTTGTTTATTACTTTGGGACTAATGCAAGATTGATTCCTTTTAGTCATGTATCATGATTGAACTTGGATTTTCTATCATTTAAGTCACTCCAAATTGACTATTTTGACTTTGATAAACTGAAGGAGATTTAGGTGAATGATGAACGATGCTTGGTGTCTAAATGTTAGAAATTGTACTAGCTGGGTTCTAGACCTAATGACCTCCACCACTACCTCCATAGCTGTGCGCTCTAGTCTTTAGGTTTATATATTCATTTCTATTCATGCGTCTTCCTTGTGTAATTTTCATTTCTGGCGATCCATGTGAATATGGCTAGTTCTACTGCTAGTTATAATTACTTTGTTAGGACACTAAAGAATTTCTGGAGAAGTCTGGACCTTGATTAAAAATAATCTTAGGCTTTTTAATGATTTTTATCTTTGGTATCTACTAGAGATGAGAACTTTTAGTGTTTTCAGGAAGTTTATTTTGACTATTTTTTTAGATGGTAGATCCAATCATCGAATTTTTAAGGCTGTAGTAGTTTGGATCATATCCCTTATCATTAGTGGAATCTATTTGATTAAGTGAAGATTAGGAACTCAGAACATTAGTTATTCGATTATCAGGTGAATTTTTTATTGAAAGCTTTGGGTTAGATTAAGACAAATTTGAAAGCTTTTAGTTCATTGTATTTCTTGTTTGGGGAGAAAATTGGACTGAAAAATTCACTTGCTAATTATTTAGAGGAGTAAGATATGCCATCTTTCGGTCCTGCTACTGAGGACCTGGGCTGGCATTGACGCTCTAAATCATATTCTAAGATGAATCGTTTGTCTTAATGGTAATCTGTTCTTTCCTATTTTTAAATACAAGCTTTTAAAGAAACTTTTTGTTTTACTATGACTTGATCTACTTACTATTTGAAGCACTATCCTCTTATATAGTGGGTTTTAAGTTGAGTTTTAAAATGTTATGTGATTTTTCAAAGTTAATCTGATTCTTGAAGGAATTTGCAGAGGATATGGACATATAGGTCTTCTTTTCTTCCTCACTTTAAGCTATGGATAATGGACTATTTCTACTTCTAGATACTCAATTAATGGGTTTAGCTGGATGTATTGTTTATTAAGGGGTTAAATTGCTAGGTTAACCATTCATTACACTTTGAGTGTATTTATGATCGCGTGGAGGCTTATGTAGGTTACTAATACTAGAAGGAGCTCTTTGGAATTCTAGAGGATTATTATCATCTGTAGATTTTTTTATGCTATTCTTGTAAATCTAATAATAGTCACTATTTCTACCCTAAATCTAATCATAGTCATTGTATTCAGTTGTTTGCTTCTTCTGATAATCAGCAAAAAAGTGGTTATAATCGTTAGAATCGTAACTTTAGGTAAATGGATCTACTTCTGTATCAACTCTTCTATGAAGCTAAATTTGATCACCTACTTTCAGATGTTAGTTAGCCTTTTATTTATCTTAAAATTTACCATCTTTTAGTAGTGATTAAGACTTTTCTATTTCATCTATATCATCATCAAGATAATCTTAAATATCTTAATTTCCTGAGGGATCACCTATTCTTGTTTTCTACTTAGTTAGTTCATGCTAACTCAAAATTGATGGAGTTTTATATTTTCTTAATTAAAATTGTTGAGATTTTTCTTCATTCCCTTGAATCTGAGATGGTTAAAGAGTATTCTATGGCATTATTTTATCTACATCCTTTGTTTCATTTCTTGGTGTCGGATTAGGTTTAGGTATATCAGGTAAGATTCTGACTCTAGGCGGTTCTTAATAATGACTTTGCTGCTTGATCATAATCGGATTCATCTCCTTAAGATAAGCCCCTGCTGGCATAAAATCATCATTAAGAGTGAGGGTTCTTTAAGTTTAGAGTCCCTAATTCGTTCTCTAAGACATCAATCCCTAATTCGTTCTCTAAGACATCAATCCTTAATTTTCAATCATTATTACACTATCATCAAGTTTAAATAACTTTGCCAGTTTGCTTTAGTCATTTTTGTTACTGTTAAAATTAGTACCACTCTATCTGACTCCGCTCAAATTCAATTCCTTTCCAATTGAGTATTTACTCAAGGATAAACTCATATCATAATTCCTACTGTTATAAAGATCCTAGTTAAGCCTTGATTATTACAAGATATTGGTTAATTATTTTGCTGTGCTGCTATTATTATTTATAGTCGAATTTTACTGAGATATATTTTGCTTAGTGAAGTTGTACTCTTGAACCAAAGATGACTATATAAGTTTCTAAAACTGCAAATTTTTAATATCCTTTTTTGTTCCTGTTTATCCTGCTGCTATATTGAATTTCATAGCAGCAGCATCTAGTTATCTCTAAATTTACTCCTATTAAAGGAGTTTTTGTAATTTAACCTTGTCATGATATGCCTTTTGCTTAAACTTCAAATTTTTATGAAGTATCTATTTAGATTCGAGTACGTTGTAATTAGGGGTTTAAGAAATAGTCTTAAATTTTTGCAGTCTTTCCTTTTCTTTCCTCATATGCTATTAAAATAGAACTTTTGACTAATCACTTGTGTACATAGATGTAAGAAACTCACAAATGTCATCGTAGATAAGGTAGTCCTTGAAGACTGAGACAATCCTTGCTTATTAATTGAATAAAATGCTGTTAACTGCCTTTAAATCATAATATTCTTGCTTAATCATAAATTTTTTCGCACATCCATATATTAATTTTTCCTATAGAGGCTTTAAGTTGTTAGATTAGGATTTAGAGGTTTTCTTGCATAAATTGCACTAAGCTCAATTGAGAATCACTGTACTTAGATTTCGTTACTTAGTCATATTCGTGTATTCTTGGGTAGTATTCTTTGAGCCATATTGCTACAAATAATTGTATAAATAGTTACTCTCTTACTTCTTAAATGTGTTTTTCAATTGCTAAGGATTAGAGTATTAAGAATAATCTTGATTATTTTTGTTTACTAGATTTTAATCGTTGTCTTATTAATTGTTTCTAGTTGGTTTTTCCTCTCCTCGAGCGCTATGTTAGTTAGCAATTTCCCCGCCCTTATTCAATTTAAGTTTTAATTTTTAGATCAAACCATCATTGTTCACATTCTACAATTCGCGTTCACTTCCTCTATTTGAGAGGGGAGGCAAATCTTTCACTGAATGAACACTCTATTATAAGACTTTGTTCTTATTAAATGACATTCGCCTTCGATTATAATAATTTATTAAATTTACCTAATTTCTACTTTATTTTTCTAACTCTAACTCTGCTCTACTCTTATTGATTTTACTTCAGGGGTTTTGGGGTTTTGGGG